AAAATGCATCTTTTTCTACTTAATTTTGTTTCTTTGACCAAGATATTTAAAATCAGTCAAAGCCATTTCTTACAGTTACTAATGGTAATATTACGTTTAGCCACCGGAGGGCGCCTGTTAGCTAGTACATGGAGATCGGAAATTTGTTTCTTTCTCTCCCTTTACGGCTTATAGAGTCAATTCCATCTCCATGGTAACTCAGTGGGTGTTAGAGTTGAGGAGAGCTTCATAAAAATTCTAATGACTGTGATATTTAGCAAGTAGATGGCCAGGTCTTTCTTCAGACGTGCTTCTCGATGGGTGTAAGCCTTTAGCAGCATGTTGACAAATTGTACCACCAGACTCTCTCTCTCTCTCTCTCTCTCTCTCTCTCATTTACATTATATGTACATGTGGTTTATCTAAGGATGATTGCCAACCGCTCTTCTTTCCAAGGCATGTAAGTCTTGCCACCAAATTTAAAAGGATATAGAGCACATAGAAATGATTTCAAGCAGGAGTTGGGGAGAGGATTTAGGAGAACCAAGTTCTACAATATTCATGTGTGATGCCAAACTGGCAAAGCTCACAGCACTGAACATGCAGGGTTTTAAGTTTGAAGATTTTTCAGCTTTGTAATTTTCAGCTGAAACAAAGAACAGAAGATTGTTGGTTCTTAGAACACAGTTTCCCGAAATTGCCAAGAGAAACCATGAGAAGCTTCATAAACTACAATTTGGTAACATTAGGAGCTGAGGGTACTTGTCTCAACTTTCTGGTCACGTACAGCAAACTAAGTTTATGTGAGCGGAAGTGTTCTCTAAGACGTGCCAGCCACTTTTTATTTGTTTCCTGTTCCCCTCCCCACTCCTTTTATTACTTTGCTTTCTCATGCATGTGTAGGGGGATATTGAAAGGGAAGAAAGAGGACTTGAAACACTTGCTACACAAGATCAAAGACTATGGGCTTCAATATGGATTAAGGCTCAAGATCAAGAAGAAAAAAAATCTTGACCATTGGACCAATACAAAACATCATAACAAATGGAGAAAGGACTGAACTTGCCAATGATTTCATTTTAAGTGAGTTCAAAAATCAATATTCATAGTAGCAGCAGTCATGAAATCAAAAGACAGGTGAGGGGAGGAAGGCGGAAGCAAAGGGGTGAGGATGGGGGTTTGAGTGGTGGTTAATCATAGGGTCGCACAATTAATGGGTGGGGGTGGTGAAGGAAATGGGAAAGATACGGTGTGAAAAACAGTGTATTCAAACTTTGTAAATAAACCAGTATAAAATAAATTTTAAAAAAGAATTCAAATGACACTGGGAAAATCTGCCGTCAAGGGTCTCTCCAAAGTTAAAGAGTAAAGCAAGAGTTTAAAGACTAAGCTAGACCTCATTCAAACCATCTATTTTCAACTGCTTTGTGCATATGGGAGTGGGACAATGAGGACGACAGAAGAAGAATCAATGACTCTTATTTGTAGTATTGGGGAAGGTTTTGGGGAATCCCATGAACTTCCAAAAGAAGGAAGGAAATGCAACCAGTGTGCCCCTTAGAAGCAAAGAAGGTGAAACTTTGTCTCACACACTTGAGCAATGATGTCAGGAGAGGCCAGTCATTATGCTGGGACAGGCAGAGAGTCAGAGAAAGAAAGGAAGCCTTCAATGGGATGGACGACATGGTGACCATAACAACGGGATCAAGCGTATTGGAGATCGTGAGGATGTCAAAGGATTTGTTCACAGTGCTGCTGTGAGACATAAATGCCTCGACTCCACCTATCAACAAGTCACGAGATCCCAGAATTCTTACGGTTGCACATACTGAGGACAAAGTTACAAAAGTTTTTTAGCCATAAAACCAAATATCTTGTGGGAATGGCTTGCTGGGACGGAGGACTCAGCGTCAGAATTGTAGGAGGAACATTAACATTAAACATTCGACTGATATACGTAGTAAACAAAGACTGTTTTGCATTTCACTTTGATGAGTAGCAATGGGGGTCTTAAACACTGATGAGCAGCTATCTAGAGTGTACGCTTTGTCTCTCAACTTTGGCAAAGAAAAATGGATAAAATAAAAGGTACAAGGAAAACACAGTCCAAAGGACTAATGGGTCACTTAAACCCCAGCTTCCATGGCTGTGAGAGGCCAGAAGGATTAAATGAAGCTCATCTGTGACTGCTGACCTCTCTGAAAAGGATCGATTGTGGGTGGTCTTGGATAAAACTCAATTGAAACTCATTGATCTTAAGTCAGAATCAACTAGTAGCTGAGCCTTCAGGAGGGTTTATAGATGCTGTACATCACCAGGTAGATTACCCATCTTTCTCCCTCACAGAAGCTGTGAATTCAAATCATATGCCTTTGGACTGGCAGAGTAACTCCTTACCCACAGGCCAATAGAGCTTCCTTTTGGGGGTAAAGTGTGAGGAAAATTCTATTCATTTTTAAAAGCCTGAGCTTACTTGTTTGTTATAGGCGGGTGAAACCCCTGAGAATATGACCCTTAGACATCTTTCCAGACTGGAATGAAACTCAATCCTGTCGTTCAACTTTCATCCAAATAATAGATTGGCCAATATGGCGGCCAATCACTCCTTAGATAACCATACAAGAGTTAAAGGACAGTGTTTGCCTAGGGACAAAGCCTGGATGACAGGAAGGGCTGGAAAAGACAGACAGATGGAAAGGGTAAGCAAAAGAAGGAGGTGGAAAGAGTGTCATCAGTGTAGGGACTGCAATTAATGCCACAACCAAAGTGCATTTGTAACCTTACATCTGAATCAAACACACACACACATACATACGTATGTACATACATACATACATACATACATACATGCACACAATATCCAGAAATCTTGCACATTTATCCTTCTGAAAGCTACAGAACAAACCATTGTGTCTCTTGAAGGATGAAATCAAAGTATAAAACAAATCTCCTTTCAGAACGCTCCTCTCTTTTCTATCACATGTTGTGTGCACGATTGTACCTGCTTAGCTGGATATGGGGGAAATTCTTTCGTGTAGTCCTGCGTTTTCTCTGGAAGTACCCAAGCATATTTTGGTTGTCATACATTTCTCCTATTGACTTCCCCCGCCCTCTACAGAGCTGAAATAGGTTTATTTGAGAAGAATAATTCTGTTTACCTTCTGTTCTTCCACACAGCCTTGTTTAGTTTTCCCAGTCTGTGGTTGAACTGTCTGAAAGAAAACAAGGAACAAAACTTCACCACACAGAACACTCTTTCATTTCTTCAAACAGCACACACTTCATTTATTTTTCTCAGGGTTGCATTGTTAAATGTGGAAAATCTTTGTGACCAAAAGAAGAGTGGCACATTCAACACATTAATATTTATTTCTGTATTAAAAAGGAGAACTTCAGCCCTCTCCTTTGCCTCTCTCCCAGTTAAGTCCGTTGCTGTCAAAATGAGCCATATAGATTTTATAGGACAGAGTAGAACTATGTGCCACTGAGTTGCCTGTGACTCACAGCGACCCTGTGTACAATAGCTCTGAACCCTGCTTTATTCTGAGCCACTTTCACCAACTCTAACACGTGAACCCCCGTTACCCCAGTCATTGTGTCTATCCTTCTCAACCAGGGTCTTCCTCTCCTGCACTGTCCCTCCACCCTTCTGAGAATAATGACCTTCTCCAAGGACATTTTCCTTCTGGCAACATGCCAAAATATGTGAATCGTAACTTCAAAACCCTTACCTCCAAGGAGCACCTTGATTTCATCCTCTCTAGGAAAGACCTGTTTGTTTTCTTGGTAGTCTGTGGTATGTTCAATATTCTTTCCCAGTGCAACAACTCAAAGGTATCAATTCTTCTTCTGTCATCTTTAGCCATTGTCCAGCTCTCTGATGCATAACAAGTAATTGTGATGACCATGGCCTGGATCACAAGCACTGTCTCTACACTGACATCATTGCTCTTAAGCACTTTGGAGAGGTTCTTAAAGCAAACTTTCCTAATGTAATCCATCTTTTGATTTCCTGACCACTGATGGCAAGAGTTGATTGTGGAGCTGAGAAAGCTGAAATTATTAACAACTTCAGTCTCCTCCATCCATCATGGTGATGCCATTTGGACCAGTGATGACAAATGCCCCATTGAGGTTGAAATATTTATAGAAACAGATTGGCTCATCTTTCTCTCACAGAGCACCTAAGGCAAAATTACAGAGCCACATTTGAACAAGACTGAAAGGAAGAATGGCACTGGGTTATATAGATCTTGGCAATTAGTATCTGCAGAAAAAAGGAATGCAGCTGGAGTGCTCCTTGGAGGCAATGATGATAAAACTTCATCTCACATACTTTGGGCATGTTGCTAAAAGAGGCTATTTCTTGGAGAGGGACATCATGCTCAGAAAGATGGAGAGTGGGCAAAGGAGAGGAAGATCCTTAACCAAGTGGATTGACACAGCAACTGCTGCAATGAATTGTAGTGTGTCAGGAAGTATGAGGGTGCTACAGGATAGGATTGGGTTTGGGTCTGTTGTCCTTAAGGTTGCTATGAGTTGTACTTGACTTGATGGCACCTAACAACAACAACAACAACTACCTTGACTGGGGGCTGTGGAGTGGGATGAAGAAAAGATCAAAAGTGAAAAACAAAGAAACAACCTAAAACTAAGGAACAAAACCGACCATAGATCTAGAATACTTGTCCCACATTTAACCATAGGTTTAGGTGACACAGAAGATGTCACAAAAAACATTAGAAACTAAGGTGCCAGATTGCTGTAGAAGAAACAGAGGTAATAGTCTGATTGATTTTCAAGATTTGTATTTTCCTATTTTATTTACAATCTCCTTGTTATCTCAAATCTAGCCTTGGGAACTGGTAGTAGGACTGGTTTGTTATTTGAGTGTGTTTATTGAAGCGGAATCAGTCATCATGCTTGTACAGTCATCTAAGACAGAGAAACCTCAATGGAAAAATGAAATTTAAAAGTCAACGGTAAGGACCATCTTGGCCAGTTGTCTTATCCATTTAGGGAATAAACTTCCTCAAAGAATCGTCTAGATTTTTTTCAGTCAAAAAGATTGTTACTTGCTGTAATATATTAGCAATATCTTACTCGTTCTCTGTTCCATTCCAGTATTTCTGCTGCCACTGGGCTGATGCCTACAAACTACACTTTCCAAGTGCCTTTGTGTTCTGACTTCTGTCTTAGATTGGCTAATAGAAGCAGTGGCCTGAGACTGGAGAGCAGGAGAGAAGCATATCCTTTCCATCTCTTGGTTTGGAGTAGTGTCTATAGAATTTAGATGCATCTCATCTGTGTTCCTAGTTTCTGCTCTGGTGGCCTAGTGTGTAAAGAGCATGGGGTTTGAATCCATCAGCTGCTGCATGGAAGAAAGATGGACAATCTCCTGTGTGATTTACAGCCTCTGAAAACCCATCCTGAAGATGTCACAAAACTGCCCAAGGTTTCATTGAATCGGTTCCTGTTGGGAGTCCTCTCGGCACTGAGACCTCTACTTTTCTCCTTTAGGAATTTCCTGCCCAGTTTCTTCTCATTATCTCAGCACACTTGATTTGTGTTTTCTTTGTTTTCTAAATCTTGTAACTACTTACTTCTCCTTAAATACCTCTGTTGGTATGAGCTCTGATTTCCTGATTGGACTGATAAAGATATTTTAAACATGCAAATGAAAAAAAGAAAATAAAAATAATAAAATTACCTCTCGTTGATTGGTTCCCCACAGATCTGCCCAATATTCCATTCTACCCAATAATATCCCATATGCTATGGGTAATAATATATTTATGCAGCACAGCACTCTACAGTTTGTAAATAGCTTTCATGTGCATATTCTCATTTGATTCTACAATAACCATCATGCTGTGTGCCGTTTAGGGGGAACGGACTCCTAATTGACCCTCTAGCTGGTTTTCAGAATTATCAATCACACAGGAGGACATCACCCATATTATCTCTGGTGAAGCAGCTTTCTTTGCCTGACAGTGCAATGCTTTACCCACTAGGGCACCTTTTTCCTATGAAAAAGGCAGTAGAAGAAACAAAATGGCCAACACTTGAATAGCTTCTATAGCTGTAGAAATAGGAAAAATAGCTTCACCTGATTAAAAATTAAAGTCTTAGAATTATATAAAAATCAAAGTTTCAGAACTAAAATGGTATTTTTTAAAATTACCTGCTATATGAAAAATCTTAGAACTATTTCAGAAAGCAGCACAGGATAGAACCAAAAGTAATGAAGGAAGAAGTTCAAGCTATACTGAAGGAATTAGAAAAAAAATAAATAAATCCCCAGGGATTTATGGGATACCAATTGACATGTTTCAACAAACAGATGCAGTCCTGAACATACTACCCAGGCTGTACCAAAAAATTTTAAGACTACTATGTGGCCAATTGACTGGAAGAGGTTCATATTTTTTCCCATTCCCCCCCCCAAAAATAGTGATGCAACAGACTATGGAAAATATTGAACAATTTCACTAATATTTTCTAAAAGTCAAAATCTTACTGGAGATTATTCAAAATCAGCTAGACTAGTACATTAACAGAAAACTACCAGAAGTTCAAGCTGGATTTAGAAGAGGTCGTTGCACCAGGGATATTACTGATGATGGATCCTGGCTGAAATTAGGAAATGCCAGGAGAATGTCTCTTAGTGTTTCATTGACTAAGCAAACACATTTGACTGTGTGGATCCTAACCAATTATGGCTAACATTGAGAAGAAAAAGGCTTCCAGAACACTTACTTGTGCTTATGCAAACCCCGTACCTAGATAATGAAGATTTTGTCTGAGCAGAGCTAGGGAACACTGTGTGGTTTAAGATCAAGAAAGTTGTGTGTTAAGGCTTTATCCTTTCTCCATATATATTCAAGCTGTACACTGAACAAATTGTTCAAGAAGCTAGATTTTATGAAGAACAACATGACATCAAGATAAGAGAGTATTATGCTACATTAACTAACTCAGTCCTATAAGGACAAATATTGTATAAGACCATTATTGTAGAATGTGTACAAGGATCCAAGGTGGAGAGTCAAGCAGAAGGGTGAGGATGGGGTTAAGGAGCTTAATTGTAGGGTCACACAATTTTATGGGTAGAGGGAGAAGTGGGTAAAGGAGGGAGAAAGATGTGTGTGAAAAGAAATGAATACAAACTTTGTAAGTAAATCATTATATATTAAAAAAAGATTGGAGCAAGACTCATCAACAAATTGTGTTATGCAGATGACACAACTTTATGAGCGAAAGTTAAATTGAGGAGGACTTGAAACTTTTGCTGCAGAAGATCAAAGACTATAGTCTTCAATATGGATGAAATTTTTGCATCAAGAAAAATGGGCCAATAGGCAACATCATGCTAGATAGAGAAAAGATAGAAGGTATCAATGATTTCCTCTTGTTTGGCCCACCATTAACACCTTTGGTATCATTAGTCAAGAAATCAAAAGATGTGTTGCACTGGGAAAATCTGCTGTCAAGTCAAAGACCTCTGGAGGTGTGAAAGAGCAACGCTATAAATTGAAAGACTAAGGTGCACCTAATTAAAGTTATGATATTTCCAATTGTTATATATCTGAAAATTGGATGGTGAATTAGGATAACAGAAGAAGAACTGATGCCTTTGAGTTGTGATATTGGACAAAGGTGCTGCACACCAATCAAGAACAATCAAACGTGTTTGCCAAAAGAATGAACAAATAGGTCTTAGAGAAAGTACAACCGGGGTGCACTTTAGAGACAAATATGGTAAAACTTTGTCTCACATGCTTTGGGCATAGTGTTAAGAAGAGCCAGTTCTAGGAAAAGACATCATATTGGGAAAGGTGAACAGTGAAAGAAACGAAGACCCTCAGGATGGGGGATTAACACAGTGACTGGAACAATAAGCTTGAGTATATCAGAGTTGATAAGGATGGTACAGTGAGATCTGGTGGCTTAGAGGCAAAGATGCTGCACTGCAATCCTGAAGGCACTCGGTTCAAGGCTACCAGCTGCTCCTCAGGAGAAGGATGGGAAATCTCCTCCCCTGTGATTAACTGCCTCTGAAAACCCGCTGGAGGGTCAGCTCTGAGTCTACAGTAGACAACAACAACAACAATAAAAAGGACAGTATAAGATAGGGCAAGGTTTGCATCCATTGCTCATAGGACCATTCTGAGTTGCAAGTGACTCAATGACACCTAACAACTACAGTAACAACATGCTGTTCATGTTATATGCCATTGAGTTGCCTGTGACTCATAGCTACCCTATGTTCAACAGCCCTAAATCCTGCTCTATCCTGTGCCAGTCAATAGCTCTGAAGCCTGCCCTGTCCTGAGCCAGACTCAGTGACTCCAACACACTACCCCCATTACCCCAGTTACTGTGTCAATCCATCTCATCTGGGGTCTTCCTCTCCTGAGCTATCCTTCCACCCTTCTAGGAATGATATCCTTTTCCAAGAACTGGTCCCTTCTGGCCATATGCCCAAAGAATGAAAAAAAAAAAATTAGTAATAAGGGGAAATGTTGCTGAATTTCATACTATGTACCTTCTGGGTGTATCTCATCTCTCAGTGTATTTTCCCCCCTTAGGTTGGCTCCCAGCTTTGCACAGATAAATTTAGGTCCTTGCAGAGGATTTTCAGAGGCTGTAAACTGCAAGAAAGGAGGGTGTCCATCTTTTTCACTTGGAGAACCTGTTCTTGTTATGTACTGTCAAGTTGCCTGCGACTCATAGTGACCCTATGTGCAACAGCCCTAAACCCTGCTCTGTCCTGTGCCAATTACACTGTCTCCAACACACCCACCGCGATTACCCTAGTCACTTGAATTGGAGCACCTTGTAGATTCAAAACATCTGCCTTTGTGTTGACAGTAGGCAGAAAATAGTTTTCGGTATCTTATTATACAACCTGCATTCACGCACATACTTAAAAAATAGGTATGATGCAATTATAGAATACCCAAGTATTTTAGCTTATGACTTACTGCACCTTAAACTCTTGAAGTCTTTTTCAGCCTACATTAGACAATATTAACTGAATTCCAATAATTATCTTATTTTCTTTAATTATAAGTTGTGAATTTGGATTGTAGTTCTAAAATCTATGTGACTCATTTACTAATTTAAAAAACCAACAATTATTAAATTTTTTAGGCAATTCTAAAATGGAATATATATGTTAGAAGAAAAATATTAATCTAACCATTCACAATTCCAAACTTCATCGCACTTGACTTCTCTCTCTGGTCTGAATGTGGCTCTGTAATTGAGATGGCATTGTCTCCCTCTGGAGAAGAATACTGGCACTCTCTGCTGACCAGTGGTCAATGGGTCGATGCTGACATAACCCATTTACTGGAAAATGGTCAGAGAACTCCAGCTGTTCCTTAGGAATGTGCTGCTCAAAATAAATTCATCCTCAGTGGTTGGACAGGGCTGGGTCAGCCCAACCTGCCCTACCACCATCATGCCTTAGTGGGTGTCTCTAAGACACTGAGTAAGCTAAGCTGTATGGATTTGGCCTCGCAGACGTGTATTTTAAGCAGTGCAGCCCCCACAGAGCTGTGAGAAGATGTGTGCGAGGCACAGGTTTACTTCCCTTCCTTGTGCTGTCCTCATTATCCAACTGGTTACCCACAGGGCCTATATTTATGTACTTTTGGCAATGGGATGACCAGCTGTTTCCATGATTTGTTGACTGAAAAAGTTTACTCCTGAGAAGTTAGGATACTTGGCAGACATTATCTAATTGGCACTACATCCGCATTGCAGAAAATATCCACACTCAGCATTTTCACAAGATAATTTGATCACATCCTGAGTACTCATCCGGATGAGTCAGAGAGAAGAAAAGGCACAAAAGGAAATAGTTTCATTTCAGTTAGTTTAGGGAATAATTCTCGCCTTTCGTCTTGCTGATGATACAGAAATCAACAGGATCTTGCAGTGTTGAAATGTTGCAACAATTTTTAAAAAAAAAAATCTCTGCTCTGTGTTGCCCTGCATTTTCAAAATTTAGTTGGTGAACTTTTAAACATTTCAGTCAAAGTAATTGAGTTTAGTACAATTCTTTAAGAGTCTCTTGACATGCTATAGGATGAGTCTCTGTGTATCAACCTAAATTAGCATTTGGTGACTTGAAATCCTGTGATCCACTATTGTTTTTCCTAAAACACCATCTTTAATGTTACATAAAAGGCTCTGTGTTAACATCATGTCATTCAGCACATGCTAGTTGAGACTCTTACTTGAAATAGCCCTCTATATGCTAAGAGCTGGATGTTTTGGGGTGTGTTTTTTTTTTTTTACAAAAATTGAATACATTGTGTTTCACACTTTTCTTCATTGTATGTCTCATACAGTCACTCCCATACATTGTGTTTTATAAAATTAATCCTTACTGTCCTGCCTACCATTATCCTGTCTTTTCAGGTTCCCACTGTATCTTTCCCATTCCCATTACCCCTTTTCTCAACTCACCAAATTGTGTGACCCTGTGATTTCCCTCCCATCCATCCTCACCCTTCTTCTCTCACTCCTTCCCTCCTTTGAGCTCCATACATGTTTAATAGTTGCCCTTCTATGTTTACAATAATGGTTTTATGCAGAATTATTTAGATTTTTATCAAGTCGACTTAACAGAACTTAACAGCAATCAACAGCATTTACTTTATTTCAATTGAACTAGGGGAAAATGCTTCTGACTTAAGTAAACACTACAGAAAAGAAAAAGGGGGGAAAAAGAAGGAA